AGGCAGGGGCTCTCCACTGAGCCACACCCCAGCCCCTCACTGGGGGATCCTAGGCAGGGGCTCTACCACTGAGCCACACCCCCTCACTGGGGGACTCTAGGCAGGGGCTCTACCCCTGAGCACACCCCAGCCCCTCACTGGGGGATTCTGGGCAGGGGCTCCACCACTGAGCCACATCCCAGCCCCTCACTGCGATTACTATTTCAGTTGTCCGTTCAGACAGGGTCTCACTGTGTAGCTCGGGAGCTCTCTTACCAGGCTGGCCTCCAACTCAGAGATGCTCCTGCCTCTGCCTCCCAAGGCATGCTCCACCACGCCCGACGAGGTGATGTGGTTTGTAGTTGGCTGACGTAAGAGCAATAAGCAGATGCTTGTGTGTGAATGGTGTCCGTGTCTCGGACGTAGGTGCGGTATGTGACATCTATGGCGAGTCAGTTTGGGGTGTAAGAAGTCAGGGCTTTGACCGGAACATGGCCGGTGCTCCACGCTTGACTGGTGCAGATGCTGGCAGAGGCCCTGCTCCTGCCGGTGTGAGTGACCGGGCGCTGTGTGGCTGGCCCCAGCCCTTCCCGGTGGCTCACACCGGTGGAGTTCGTGTCCTAGTTGTGACCTCTCCAAAGGGCGAGCAGGGCTGTCAGGGTCCCCACACTGCAGCTCCCAGGCCTCACGCTGAGATTTCAGGTAATGCCGTGACTGTGCTTCCCACAGTAAGGGGTCGGATCTGGGGACTGTGCCCTCGCTGTTCTGCGCTGGTCAGGCCTTGCGTGGTCAGCCTGCCCAGTGGCAGAAAACCAGGACGGCGAAGGGAGTGTCCACCCTTGACCCAGCAGGGAACCCCGTCCAGACGTGTGTGTCCACTGCAGGCGGCCCTGTATGAGCCGGGCCAGGACCGCCCCCTCCGGGACCCTTCCTGCCTCCTCACACGCCAGCCCACTTGGCTGGCTTCTCTTGGGCGCCAGCAGGTCACCCCAAACCCAGCCCGCTCTGTTCCGCCTGCTGTCAGCGAGCAACCTGTCCTGTCCCCATGCCCCATCACCTCCTGCCGCCATGTTGCAGTCTCCAAGGCCAGCGTGGCACCTGGCGCATGCTGGGTCATTTTTGCATCATGGGTAACATTGACCTGTGTGTGAAATGCGGTCTCCAGAGAGACTGTGTCAGCCCCCAGGCCCTGTGTCAGGGTTAGAGGAGGTGTGTGTGTGTTTGTTTGTTTGTTTTGAGACAGGGTATCTCTGTGTGGCCCTGGCTGTCCTGGACTCACTGTAGACCAGGCTGGCCTTGAACTCACAGAGCTCTGCCTGCCTCTGCCCCCCAAGTGCTGGGATCGCAGGTGGGTGCCGCCACACCCAGCAGTTAGAGGCTTCCTTTACAGGAAGCTGTGATTCACCCTTCTGTCCACTCGCTCCCAACCCAGAACCAAGCACGGCTCCACACATTGGCTAGACAGAGGCCCGCTGCCTGCTAAAGAGCCGGAGCCGCGCAGGCCCTCTCGGGTCCGTGCCTGGCCGGGCCCTGGCCACTCTTCCTTGGCAGGAGCACTCTGTAGGTCTTTGATCCTCTTAACTGTGCTCATCCGAGGCTGTGCAGTAGGTGCCTTGGGATGTGCTCCCTGTGCTTGCCCCAGACACGGACCCCACTGTTGCTGGGCGGAATGTCCTAGAGATGCGGTGGAGAGCTGAGTGGTATGCTGCTGCCCACGGCCCTCCCCCTCCCTGACGTCCTGTCTGGCTGACCTGTCGGCCATAGAGAGGGGAGTGGCCGAGAGTCTGCTGTGACCCTGCGGAAACAGGCCTTGCTCCTTGCTCTTCTCTTCTCACTTTCCTGTTTTGCTGCTTTGGGCTCTCTCTCTCTCTCTCTCTCTCTCTCTCTCTCTCTCTCCCCTCTCTGCCTGTCCCTTCCCATCCCCACTCCCTCTCTCTCTTGGAGTTAGAGCCCAGAACCTTGGAAAAAATGCTTTACCACTGAACTGAACTCCCAGCCTTTCACTGGTGAATTCCTGCCAGGGTCTGTACAGCTGAGCCACACCCAGCCCTTTACTGGGGGATTCTAGGCAGGGGCTCTGCCACTGAGCCACACCCCAGCCCTTCACTGGGGGATTCTAGGCAGGGGCTCTATCACTGAGCCACACCCCAGCCCCTCACTGGGGGATTCTAGGCAGAAGCTCTACCACTGAGCCACACCCCAGCCCCTCACTGGGGGATTCTAGGCAGGGGCTCTACCCCCGAGCCACCCCAGCCCTTCACTGGGAGATTCTAGGCAGGGGCTCTACCACTGACCCACACCCCAGCCCCTCACTGGGGAACTCTAGGCAGGGGCTCTACCCCTGAGCCACATCCCAACCCCTCACTGGGTTTCCTAGGCAGGGGCTCCACTACTGAGCCACACCCCAGCCCCTCACTGGGGGACTCTAGGCAGGGGCT